CCCCAATTCTCTCTCCTTTTTCTCCGCTCCCCTTACCCCGCATCGCCGAGCCCGCCTGAAGAAGCAGATGCCCTCCCTCTCCCCAAACACACCCTGAGGTTTCCCAAATATAGATCTAAAATGGTTGACAGTTTTGGGGGGAGGCGGATGGTCCTATCCCCTGCTCCCAATCCTGTTTATTGCGCTCTGGCTTGCAGGAGGGGAAGTTGGGCTTCCCCATCCGGACGCAGTGGCTCCTCCGTAGGGTTTAAGAGTTTTGTTTTTGCTCTGGGTGTCTGTGTATTAATTAATAACAGGATGTTTAGCTCTCCTGTTGGAGGTGTCGGGAGTAACTGGAAACAAAATGGATAAGACGCGTAGAAATCCCAGTGACATCTGATGAAGTCCATAACAGAGACGCAACGCATCGTAAATGGAGTCCAGATAGGGGTTTAGGTCCGGATTTGAAGGGGTCCGGATCAGATGTTTTTTACTCCGCTTAGGGGGCGGGGGTGGCTTTTGAAAACAGGGGATGGAGGAAGGAAGCACCTATTGCGAGAATATTAGAGTCATTGTCATTTGCAAGCTTTTTTTTCTCGTTCTCTCTCTCTCTCCCCGGAAGGAGGGCACCTATGCTTATTTTACTGCCCAGTTTTAATTGCAGCTGGAGGGGAAAGCGAGCTGGCGGGAGTGTAGCCGTGAGAGCGAGGCGAGGGGCTGCTGTCAGGTGTCGGGGAGACTCGGCGTTGACGTGAGCTGCGGCGACGGGGTGGTGGGCGAAGGAGGGAGGAGTCCCTTCGGGAAAGGGCGCAAGGAGGAGCCCCTTCGGCCTGCACCGCTTCCTTCCGCGCCTTTCACCGGGGAAGGACTCTGAGGGCAGCGCTCCCTCTCGACAGCCCCCGCTGCCGCTTTAGGCGGAGTTCCCCGCTCCGAGGGGAAAGGCAAACTCCAGGCCGGGGCTTGAGTGGGAACCGCAGGCCTTGCTCTCCTTGAGCTCCTCATAGCGACAGGCCGGGGAATCGATGGCCTATTCCGTCCAGAGCGACAGAAGGTGGCATCTCCCTCCGGCGGCCTTGGCCTTCAGTAGCCTGGAAGGTGCCTGTGCCTCTTCTATGCAGCCGAGGCTTTCCCCCACGTAGCCAAACGTGGAGTATTTTGACAGGGGGCAAGTCAGACGCGGCGCATACATTTTCCCTTCTCTTAAGTCACATGTAAGAGAGCACATTGTCATGGCACTCCAGTACAGTTTATCCGAAATAAGCACCATAACTTGGTTTTCTACACTATTTGTAGTTTCGGTCTTCAGATTTGAGTCTGCATGTCACCCACAAAGGCGTATGAATCCTGTTGTAGGCCTGATTGGATAGCTAATGCCTATTAATGTGGTAATATTTTCCCAGCTTGTTAAGGATATGTCCTGCAGCATCTCTTTCTTCAAGAAAAAAAAAGTTGGAAATCTGAAGCTAAGGAGAACATTGGGTTCATTTCAAGACAATAAGAGGTTAACACACATACATGGCCCACATTATAATCTAGTCTTTGTATAAACCCAATATTTGAAACAAAGCAAGGTTGGCAGCACTTTACCACAGTAATCACCTCTATAAGACCTTCAGTATGTATATTATAATGCTTTCCATTTTAGCCTGGAAACATTTACAAGTGACTGCCTGAGGCCATCTGTGCTCATGCTTAGCCTACATCCAAACCAATTCTATCTAGTATACCACACTGCCTTCCTTAGTAAGGAAAAGAGTTTCTTTACTGGCAGCTGCATGGCAGATCATTTCCTTAATACCAGATAGTATTCCAGTTATGCCAGTATTTATTTCCAGTGTTTCTGTACCACCACCATTATACATCTCTAGGCAGTTCATACACAAAAAGCAATTTTAAAACAAAAACTCTCGTAAAACAGCAAAAATTTTAAAAGCCTACTGGTGATCAGATAAGAAACAAAGCATAGATGTTAATCTCCAAAGGCCTGTTGGAAAAGCTGCATTTTAACCACTTTCCAGATGGTAACAAAGTGCTAACAATATTTATTTTACAAGGCTTATAAGCCACTCCAGTTGAAGCTGACTCTGAGTGAGATATATATGCTGTCAAATATGCTGTTAGCAATAATCAGAGACTGTTTGATTTAAAAGGGCTTTAATATATGGCTTTCAATGGTTTAAAATAGTAATATTCTGGTGGTCTTTCTTTTTATATATATATATATTTATTATTTTATTACTTTATTATTTATTTTATTTATTATTTTATTATTTTTATAAAAATAAATTTTTATTAAAAGTTTTAAGAGCAATAAGAACTAATATAAACAAAATTAGAACAGAGAAAATGAAAAAGAAATAACAGAAAAAGCTAAAAGTGCAGCAAGAAAAGAAAATAGAAAAAAGGGAAAGATATAAAGAAAGATATAAAGATATAAAAAAGTAGTTTCCAATATTCTTCACAGCAGTTATAAGTAAAACTACATTTTAACCTCTTTCTCTAAAGTTACATCATGACTCTCTTCTTTCTATAACCTATCCTGTCTAATCATCAAAACTATACATCACAAGTTCATTTTTTTCATTTTTACGCAAAAAGTCCATAAGAGGTTTCCAGTCACCAGTAAATGTAGATGTTGTCCTTTCTCTAATCAAAGAAGTCATTTTGTCCATCTCAGCAAATTTTGTCAATTTCACCAACCATTCCTCCATGGTGGAATAGTCTGCTGGCCTAACTTTCATTACATTTAAGTATATTTACATATAGACTCATATTGGACAGAATACTAAAGAAAGGAAATAGCTTCTGTGAAGTGGTAGAGATTTTGCTTCAGATAAATGCAAACTTCTACTTGTTTTCAAACAAAGGATATATTCAGTATGTATCTTGCTTCATTAAATCTGAAAATATTACAGTAACATGCCAGAACATCCATATTTAAAGGATATGATGAAAATTTAAATAAACGTGTGCATTTTCTTTAAAGAAATAATAAGGAAAAATTACCAGCATGAAAATTGTGTCTAGGTAAACTGCAGCATGATAAGCCATTACAATTTTTGTTGTTGTTGTCTTTTGACTTGGATTAAAGGAGGAAATGTTAACCAGTTTTTAATCCCAAATTATACTACTGATGGAACCAATAATTCTAAATTAGTGTTTATCTTCTATATAATTTGAGGGTTCTTTTACTGCAGTGAACTAATACACTGATATCATATTTAGGTAATTGTTATTTCCACCTAATGGAACTTGCAAGCTGGAGAAGGATGGATTACTACACAGTGGAAGAGTGAGAAGGAAGAGTAGATTATGATTTCTCCAGGGTAGGATACAGTACTGCAAAAACTGCACTTGTTTAGGAAAAGATAACAGAACCATGTCCCCTCTGTTGATTAACAAAAAGCTTTTAAAGATGGAGATTAAAGAACAAAGATGTTGGGGAATCAAGCTTTTAATAAATGAAATCCATATATAATATTACTATATACATTCTACATCTTTACACTTCAGTTACCATTCTGCAACAAAAGAGCTATAAAAGATTTGAAAAAGTTACATCAATTCCTGTCTTAGCTGATTATCTTGGAAAAAGTTTGAGAAGTACAGTGGCTTCTTTCTGAAATAAGTAAGGAATCAGAAAACTTTTTAATATAGTTTATGAACACATCAGGAACAAATGAAAACATCAGATCTCCCCTGTTCCATGGCATCCATTTGGATGATATCCAAAACTATGGGTAACTTCAGGAGTATTTTATTTACAATTCATATGCACAGGACTACTTATTGTTCCTTGAACATCAGTTCAAATATTCAAATTATTCTGCCCATCCTGTCAAGTCATTTAGAGAAGCCTGCCTCTGAGGAGGTGAGGGGGAGAATAGACCAAAAGGTGGATTTTATTTGTGATAGCCCTAACCTTACCCCAAGAGGTGCACCTGGCTCCCTTATTAATGACATTTCATAAGGCTTTGAAACAATTTTATTCAGCCAGGCTTTCAAATCTTAATGATGATTGGGCTGCAGCTGTTCCTTTTCTGTTTATAAATGTCTGGGGCAGATTATTTTATAGTGTTGGGGTGTATGATATTTTATTGTATAGGTTTTTATGGTTTTGTATACCATCTGGAATCTGGTGATGTGAGGTTATAAAAAACTTAATACATAATACCTGCTGCACAGAAGTAGTAAGGCTGGCAGAATAGCATTTTCATTCTTGTAGTACTATGGCATAAATTGCATTTGATATATGTCTATATTGTATGAGTATTAAAGATACTAGACTAATTTCCAAATTCACATCTGTCAAATACTATGATAATCCTTTTAAAGTCCCTATATAAATTCTCCATGTAGCACAAATATTTTCTTAAAATTTAAAATACTTATGACCTTGCATAAGCTTCTCCCTCTCTTAATCCATATTTCAGGTAATAACTCTGTGTGTGATCTTTATTGTTCAGTTTTTATACCATCAGATGAAAGCTTTGTGGTAACCTTCCAACAGAATTTCCATTTCTTCTGACCTATCCCCTCAGAGATTGTCTAGGAAGGTGTTCTGTTTCTCCTATATACCCTTCTGATTATCTCAAGACCCTCCTCAAACCTCACCTTTTCTATATTTTTGGCCATATATTTATATTAAGATTCAATAACTTTGTCTCATCACTTGTTCCCTCTCTCTCCCTCATTTGACTTTACTTTTCCCTTGCCTCTAATCATTGTTGACATTTGTGTTGTT